CGAACCTCTGGCCTCATGACTTACCTTGATTTTCTTTTGTTAAACCTTTATTTTTTGTATCATCTTCCCCCATATTAGCTCATTTAGGGCTCAAGTCCCAGCTTACCCTAAAATAAATGTAGTATTTTCCTTTCAGGTAAGTTTTAACATGTAATTTATTATTTGGAAAGTAAATTTTGGGGACATTTGCAAATTATTTTAATTGTTAAAAGTGGAAAAGTTAGCTAAAATCAGCCAAAATTTTCAACATGGAAATATATATGCTGTGAAATATATATATATATATATATATATATATATATATATATATATACACACTCATACTCGTACTCGTCGTCTCCCGCTTTATCCGGAACCGGGTCGCAGGGGCAGCAGACTAAGCAGAGACTCCCAGACTTCCCTCTCCGAAGACACCTCCTCCAGCTCTGTTGGGGGAAGCCCTGGGCGCTCCCAGGCCAGCCGAGAGACATAGTCTCTGCGTCCAGGGGGCGTCCGAAGAAGATGTCCGAGCCACCTCAACTGACTCCTCTCGATGTGGAAGAGAACCGGCTCTACACTGAGCCTCTCCCGAATGACCAAGCTCCCCACCCTATCTCTAAGGGAGAGCCCCTTAGATCCAAATAGGCTAAATAAATAAATGCATGAATTTACCAGGCTATTGGAGCTGTAACACAGATAACACGACTAAGTAGCATGACTGGGTAAGATTCTGTTTCTTCTTTCAAACATGCTGCACTGCGGCTCAGAAAAGACACTTTTTTGTTGCAGAAATCAAACTGTCCTACAGGAAACACAGTTTTTGTTCTGTTTCATCATGTTATTCTTGTGGATGTGAACAGTTCTCTAGTTGCAAAAAAAAAAAAAAAAGGGGGGGGGGATGATGGATATTTATTTTTTAAGCATACATACCTAATTAATATAGTCTATTAACCTAAAACAATATGCATGGTATGGTTGTTACATGTCAGGTACGCCAGTCATTGACCTTGACCAAGGATCCTTACAGTAGAACGGCAGTCAGTCCCTGGACTGGCATGGCTGTCACTGCACCTACTGTACATAGTTAAGGATAAATACAGAGGAAAACTTTCCCACTGGGAGCAGCTTCATAGTCATGGTAGGCTACTTTGATTTTATTTATTTTGCTCAGGCTACTTGTAAGCCCGCCATATGTTGAAAGGGCAATATTAATGCCATTACTGTAAACATATAGTAGAAATTTTACACATTCAGTAATACAATGTCACAGGGGATGGTATGTGGGGGATGGTCATTTAAGAAGGGGGTGATTTGTAAGATTTTTTTTAAAGAAGGGGGGTGGGTTCTCTTGAGTTCTCTACACTGCTGTGGAGCTCCAATCCTAGTGGACTTTCTGCACGCCACCTGAGCAATGTGCAGGATTGTGCCCTACCTCTCTGAATTCTCATGGAATGCCCTTATGCTCTGTTTCCAGTCATTGAGACAATTTGTTTGGGCTGCATTTTCTGCTGTCCTGCCTCAAAGAGGAGTGAGCTTTGCTGCTAATCAGAGGCGTAGCAAGAAGGCACCAGTTGATAAGCACCAGAACCTCAGGGTCAATCTACAACAGGAAAATGAATGGGCACCACATCCATAAGACTAACTATGCTTTTCTACAACCTTTGCTGACAAATAGACACATAAATATTTAAACATCTGTGCTTTCTAGATAAAAGGTATAGTGGATCAAATTCTTTGAGGTTTGAGAACCTATAAGCTGAAGATACACTTCCCTCTGAGTTGTGTGTATCATGAAGACATTTTCTCACAAGCTTCATAAGGGAATCAAACTTTAAGATTACACAATATATAATACTACTTCAGCGGTAGTTTCAAGATGTTACTTTATTGTATGTCTCGTACCATGTCTTTCGGTTGTGCTGCTCTTTTTTCATCTCGTTGCAGGTGATGAAGCAGACTGAAAATGTTTTGTCATTGTCTCCTTTCCATCTCCTCTTTCTTTCATCTTTTCTCTTTTTTTCCTTTTTCTTCTGTTTTTCTGCTCTATTTACATTGCAGTGTCCATATAAACTGTAAAACTCCCTGCATAATTATAATAAAGCAATTTATATGCATGAAACAAGTGGAGCAATATGGCAATTGCCATACTGTTACACTTGTGAAAGTAAAATCTGTTGGGCTCTTTTTGGCATCAAGACAATTATTCTTATTGCCAGACAGGACACTGTTAAAAAAAAAAAGATTACACAATATCACCTGAGGCCCGTCTCACAAAGCAGGTTTAACAAACTCAGACCACAATCCTCAAATCTGAAATGATCTAGCTTAAAGTTTGAAATTCCGAGTTTTTGGTTTCACAACGGCTGCTGTGAGTTAGTTTAATCAACTCTAAGCAGGTCCCTTCATACTTGAGCATATGTGTAATAAGTATGAAAAGCCATAATCAGTGGAGCACCGATTCAACAAGTCACCATGAAAGCAGGAAGTGCCTGTTTCACACCATTGGAACTAGAGGTTTTAATGCAGCATTAAAGCCGCTGTCTACTTTTAAGGCAAGGCTAAAAACATTCCTTCTTGATAAAGCTTACAGTTAGAGTGGGTCAGGTTATCCTGAGCTATCTCTATAGTTATGCTGCTGTATGCCTAGACTGCTGGAGGACATAGGGAACCCTTTTCATTATTCTGCTTCGTCATCTCTTTTATCCCATTCTGCGGAATATGTTAGTTCAATCTCCAACTATATATGCTCTCGTTCATCCTGTGACGTGGGAATGCTCGGAGCTCGGCTTCTTTGCTATCTTTCCTGAACAGGAGCACCTGTGGAGTTCGTTAACAGTTACATTTTGTATCTCTGCTTTTTATTTTATGTGTGCTTCTTTCTCCTTCAACTTCCGTCAGCCTCGGCAGATGGCCGGTCACACTGAGCCTCGTTCTGCTGGAGATGTATTCCTGTTAATAGGGAGTTTTTCCTTTCCACTGTTGCTACATGCATGCATGGTGTGAGGGATTGCTGTCGAATCAATGCAATCAGCTGATTTTCTTTAGAAAACTGACCGATCTGGTTGAATTGTTCTATTAAAGTCCCTTGAGATGAGAGTGTGGCACTATATAATAAACTGAACTGAATTGCTCTTAAAGGAATAGTACACCCAAAACATGATTAGCCTTCATTTTCTACTCACCCCCATGCTGAACAAAACTCTGGAGTACTTTTTTGATATCTCAATGCATCTGGAGATCTGGGAGGCTTCTTGCTGTCTGCTGACATTCAAATAATGGAGGTCTATGGCGCCCGAGACAGAAAGGTCCACAAAAGTCCACAAAAACTTGTCAATATTCCTCCATACTGCTTGTCCAATGTAATCCAAGTGTCCTGAGTGGGTAGCATCCAGAATTTACTCGAAACGAAGTCATTTAGAATGTTTTTAGAGCCTAAACAGTAGTGTATAGGATTTCCTAATAGCGCCCCCATGCACGCTCACGATTCTACGGAAGCCGGCAGACCAAACCAGCGCATTCAGCTCGGCAAAGAACTCATGCTCTTCCTCAACACTGAAGTCCTCAGACATTTTTCTTTCGTTGTTTCTTTCTTTGCACAGGTAAACAGCACATTTCTTCTTCTACGCTTGCATTATCGGCAGACCAGACGCTGAATGCGCACTTTCTTCCGGTTTGGTCTGCCGGCTTCCGTAGAATCGTGAGCGCGCATGGGGGCGCTATTAGGAAATCCTATACACTACTGTTTATGCTCTAAAAACATTCTAAATGACTTCGTTTCGAGTAAATTCTGGATGCTACCCACTCAGGACACTTGGATTACATTGGACGAGCAGTATGGAGGAATATTGACACGTTTTTGTGGACTTTTATGGACCTTTCTGTCTCGGGCGCCATGGACCTCCATTATTTGAATGTCAGCAGACAGCAAGAAGCCTCCCAGATCTCCAGATGCATTTGAGATATCAAAAAAGTACTCCAGAGTGTTGTTCAGCATGGAGGTGAGTAGAAAATGAAGGCTAATCATGTTTTGGGTGTACTATTCCTTTAAGGTATGAAAACTCCAAAGTATTCCTGACATAAACTTAGCAACATCTACAAAACACCTGTTAATCTGGTAATTTGATCTTTACCAGTGAGCCACCAGTTGATGACAGCAGAGACTTTGTCCCCTAACTTAATTTTCTTTAGATCCCCCCCAAGTTCTGCAGCATTCTTATCGTCATTTAAGCACACTTGTGGTATTGTATGTCCCAAAATGCATCCTACAACTAATATGCACCTAAAACCTATAAAAAAATATATATATACGTTTTTTGCTGCCTATTTAAAGGATCTCTCAACAAGCATTCTTTTTTTTTACTCCAAACAATTAGGGGTTACGCGGCATAAAATGATCTCTTAGCTGTGCTGATCTAAGATTTGGTGATACTCTGCCCTTTGTCCCATCAACCCTTTCTTAACCATTTATATTTAAATCCTTTCTGGTTTTACAAAAAAAAGTAGCAAAGTAAAAAAGGACAAACTGACTGACAGAAGAGTGAGGAGGAATGTGAAGGATTTAAAAAGTCTGCAGTTAGACCTGCATCATGAAGTGGCACCATGGAGTAACGACGTCTTCAGAATCATAAGTGTGTTTTCTGTCCTACTGTCATACATGTAAACAAGGATTATATAATGGAAATTATAATCTTCTGTTAGAAAAATGAAGTGAATTCTTGATGATCTGCATCTTCCTTCTTAGAGTGGTGAGTAGAGATGAGAGGAATTCCAGTTAATTCTACCGCTTTAGGATTAATTTCCTGTTTAAGCCTCTCTCGGAGCTAGTTTCATCTTCGAAACCAGATCAAAACTTCTAAAGTCAACCAGGCGGGTTAAGCTCGCAAAGAGATGAGATCCTGGAGCTGAGATCATCCTAATTGAAAGATTCCCAACATTTGCAGACACGATTACACCTAGGTTGCAGTTATTGTTGCAAAGAAAGCAGCAAGTGCTTCTGTAAATAAGCTGACACCACACAGAAGTTCTTTATTTCTCTTTTATTTGTTTTCTTGTTTTTTTTTTCTGTACTAGATTATTGCAATCTGGTTAATTCACATTTAAAAACTGGTCTTCGACCAGACGCACTGAAATCATTGATAATTATTTTTACAGTAACCATTACAGGCCCCATGTCTGGAAATCCCAAATAAAAAAAAAGAGCAGAAAAAGAAAGAAAAGATCTGTACGTTTTTTTCCTGCACTTTATTTTTGTTTTCATGAATTTTTTAATAGTAATTACAAAAAGGAAGAAAATATATAACAATCATAAAAAGGAAAGTTTGCTTGTGGGCGGGGTCAGGAATTTTATGACTGGCAATCACAACACAGCACGAGTACCTACTAACTGCAAAAAATAAAATACTGAAAATAAAGGCAAAAAGCTAAAAAAAAAATAGGACTTATGAACACAAGAAGCAACTGAGGGGACAACATAGCGATGCTTTTCCTACAATCTACCAAAAGTATAATAAAAAAAATTGTTTTTTATTCAGTTTGTTGGAAAATAAAATAAAAAGCATGAGTCAGATGGTGGCTGGTGGGAGGAGGGGGTTTTGGAAGGGACAATAAAAAATACTGCACGTACAATACCTTTGTTCACCCTTCTCCTCCCATCACGTCGCTCTTACAGTTTTCCTCTCCCACTTTCCCCTTTTCTTTATTTAATAGCATTTCCCATTAATATTCCGTCCCCCCGCTGCTCCTAATGGCCGCGCCCAGTCGCGCGATCGTTACACTTTTACATGTGAGTAGCAAATGACACTTTGATTGGCTGTGATGTGGAGATGTGGGTCCCCTGCCGGCTCCGGGTCGGGGGCGCGGCTGAGCTGAGGGATCCCACTGGGCCCCGGTCTCACTGCGCGTGCTGGCTCAGTGTGTGGTTCTGCAGGAAGAGACGGAGAACGGGAGAAAGAGTGAGAACACATGATGGGAGAAATAATGGGCTGCATGAGCAGAGAGCTTTCCACTAAACTACAACCGCCAGAACAGAAACACAACTGCCTCCCACAGAAGCAACAGCAAAATCTCTTCAGTTCAGACAATCTGATGGAGGATGAAAGACAAGCAGAGGAGGCGACCCACCAGAAAGAGGCCGTTTATTCCTTTTAATGTGTTTCTGCAGACTATTGTTAAATGTTTTCATATTAGACATTTATTATGGATCTTGATTTAATTCTATTCTCAACAACAAAAACACTTTTTATATATATCCATAGTTAAATAAAAAGCATTAGGTTTGTGTAATTGTGGGGCTAGATTACTGTAGGAGGGTTCAAACCAAACATCAGGGGGTTGCTAGTTGGAACCCCAGCTCTGTCCATTTCTGTCATGTCCTTGGGCCAGACACTCCACCTGTCCGGTGGCGCCTCTGTACCTCTGAACATTAATGAAACGCAGCAGACAGGGAACTTTCTAGACTTTCATCTGAACTTGGAGAGAAGATAGACCAGCTGAGGAAAAGCCAGAAGTCCTGATTTTAAAATATAACAGGTAATGTCAAATTTATGGAAGCAGGAGCTCTCAGATTAAACTTAAACTGAACTTTTTCAGCTTAATTAAAAAAAAAATCTTTGGTAGAAACTGATCATCTTTCCCACATGGGAACATTGTGGTGGTTGTGGAGAGGGATGTTTATCAGAGCTCAAAGGAAGAGGAGTGGAGCTAAAAAGGCTGAAAAAGTCTTGAGACCTTGGAGAATACTTCATAAAATCTAAAAGGTTTTAGATCGCCCTCAGCATCCTCTTTATCATACTGTCTTACGACAACATTCTCAGTCAGAAGCTCCACCAGACCTGCTGTAATACAGACCCCTACAGGAGATCCTTCCAGTCTACAGCATCAGCATCCACAACAATGGGTTAAAAAACAAAAACTATTATTTACAAAATGTATTTTTTCTAGAGACAAGGTTAGAGGATCACCTCACATTGACCCTCACCCTAAGCCAGAGCTCACCCATTAACCAAATATGACATCATCCCAGAAATCTTTACCACTTTCCAACCCTAAGCACACATTGTTTTAAGAAAGGAGACCCTTTCTTTGTCAACCCTTCCAATAAGCCATATTTTTATGAAGGCTAACCTTTGACCTGCTAAGTGAGCCCCAGCAGTTTGAGATGGAGTTTTTATTTCTTTTCGGTCTTATCTCTTATCCCTGTTTGCGTTGACACTCTTCCACTTCTGGGAAGTATTTTCCAATAATGAAGAGTTGTCTCTCTGAAGATTGATGGACTTTATAATTTGGAGAAGGTCTGAAAATCCTTCCTGGATATAATGTGGGAAACATGCATCTAAGGCAGGGGTCTCAAAGTCGTTCCAGGAAGGGTCGTGTGGCTGCAGGTTTTCCGTCCAACCAAGCAATAGCACCGCTCATCAAGTCATCATGTTCAGACTGGACTCACTTGATGAGATGGCTGGTGTCTGGTTTGCTATTGCTTTGTTGGAAAGAAAACCAGCAGCCACACGGCCCTTCTTGGAACCACTTTGACTCCCCTGATCTAAGGTAACTGCTGAAGTCTTTCCAACGCCCCATTGTATTAAACTAAGCTTTGTCCCCCTTTAAAAACAAACTGAAAAAAGCCTTTCATTTAGGCATAATGATCAGTTAGTGCTTTTAAACAGGAGAACTGTAGAATCCAGTCCTAACCAGCATAGACTGAAGGTGGACACTGTTTTTCCACAAGGCATGTTTGTGTTTTCCTTTCTGTGGTTTCTGTCAGAACCTCCATGGAGCCCCGACATGTTTATTCAGATATGGGAGACCCTCGTGTCTTTTCATTTTGTGATTAATATTTTACAGAAAGCATCTCTGCACCTCTGAGACGCCTTCGCTCACATCTCTCCAAAGGCATCAGAGCATCAACACTTGATTACAATGAAAAAAAAAGGTTCCATCTTTTAAAAAATTTAAATTCAGAACAGCAGCGAGAGCTCAAACAGAGACTGATGGAAGGTCTCCAGGTAAAACGCTGTACCACGTTGTATTATAAATGAACACAGGGTGAAGAAGAGCAGAAAATAATAATACATCAGCTGGATAAAAAAACATAGGAGTAAAATAACATACAAATATATAAAAGCTGTTTTATTTGAACACACAAGTAAATCCTATCTGTGCTCATGATCACATGTATCATGTGTCCTTTTCTCGCTGCTCTGCATCAGCCTCAGATTGGAACCAAACTCGGGATAATCTGGATTTGCCGGTTCAGAACTTAGCTAGCATTACATCTAAAGCTGGACAGATATAGCAGAGATGACAGGACATGATTGGATGGATTTCTTTGGAGGAGTGTGGAGATATTTCCACTCAGAGGCATTCTCTCTGATTTTCCCCGGATAGTGCAGCTTGCTCCTGATGAATTCACCTCCCGTTTTCTCTCTGTCACACACAAAGAGCCGTTCCCACAGAAACCTTCCCTGCTTCCTCACAATTCCCAGGGAGATCTTCCCAATCAACGGCGCCCCTCCCCACCACTAAAAGCAGCTTTCTCAGATTAATCACTCCCTCTCTGTGATCGGCCCTGGTATGGCAAAAAAACAAGGGACAAAAAAAACAGAGAAGTGGATGGTAGGAGGGGAAATAGAGAGGATGGAGGGATGAACAGACCAGAAAGGGAAGGACAGGGGAGGATGGGGACAGGAATGGGATGGATTATACGTGGTTTAGGCTTGATAAAGACTTATTTGTCATTCTATGGCCGCTTATCTTTCCGTGCATGTTTTGTTGAGACCTTTGGTGCATTTGTGTGTTTGTGTCGAAGCTTTAGAGGCTGAACTTCTCTGTCCAGAGGAAAGTAAAGAGTATTAATGTCCCCCCACTGGAGAGCAGCAAGAAGGCTGTCGCAGAAATACGGCAGCAAATGAGCAAAATAACCAACGGGACGGTGAGAAGTAAGTGTCCCCTCCTTCTGTGTCAGCATGGAGGCCTCTGAAGCGAGTAGGGAGATCTCACTGGGGGCCATTGACCCCATTATGATAGAAAACCCTCCTCCTCTTTATCTATTTCACTCATCCTTCGCCTCAGCTTTCCATAAGCTTCGAGCGTTTCCTTTCACAGCCAAAAGAGGTCAGACTCATTCTTTTTCAACCGATTGAGAAGACTGGAGCTAAATGTGTCCACTTTCCTGATGGAAAGCCATCCACAGACTGTCTGACCTCTAAAACTGAGACCAAACTTTAGTCACTGTGAGGGAGAGAAAGAAGATGGAAGCAGCTCAGCTGATAGCGGAGAGATTTGGTGGAAGGACGAAATACTGAAGAGGAGAAAGTCTGTGTAAACTCCCCGGAGGAGCTGACAGAGCAGCAAAGGATCACTGGAAATAGTCCAGGAGGGAAATACGACAGTACACTGAAATGCATCATGTTGACAGGATATCAGTAGATGGTGTTAAATAGGAACAGCTTTAAGAGCGTCATTACTGAGGCTGTTATCCATTGTGTATTTTTTTCATTAGAAATTATTTTGTCCTGTTCTGGAGGGTGTTACAGAAACACATCAGACCCTTGAAAAGATTATTGGTAAAGATAGTTGTTGTTTTTTCTATTGAAATAACTCAGTGATTTCATTGGGGGGAGTCTCTTCATGGCATACAAATACACTAGAGAAAGATGGGTAGTATTATCATACAGATCGCACATTTTATTGTACAGAAATTAAAAAGAGAAAATCCATTTTTAGCATTATTACAGAAGCTGATCATAATAACAACATAATCTAAATTAAAGGTGTTAGTCACATTATTAGATATAAGCAACGCAAAAAGAGAAAGATGGACTCCTGTCCAATCTCTACCATACCTGGTGATACTTTGACAAAGTCCTTATTTGATAAATCCAAAACAACTTGGAAATGGAAACATTGTAAAAAAATTGTTATTAGGGCTGTAAAAATTACATGAAAATGCTTATTATTAAGATTTATTTCTTAACTGTTTCTTTTTAAGCAGAATTAACACATACGTTTGATCCTATCTGTGCTGTAGTTTGAAGTCATTTTGTTTTGCCTGTCATCCAGGTCAAGGCAGAAATAAAACAGGCTTAAACCAGAAGCAGCTGGACTTTTACTGAAAACATTTCCACACCTATCAAGGAGTCAATTCTTATGGCTCACTTGAGCTATATGTCAGGTTTTCATAGTAATAAACAAACTAAAGCAGATGAAGAAAACAAGTAGAAGATTTTCTAATTATTTTAAGAGCATCAAGACTAGTTTATGAGTCTGGTATGGATAGGAAGTCAGGGCCCATTTAAAACATTTGTAGAGTATCATATCAATGCTTTAATACTAAAACCAACACAGCAGTGTGTAAGGAATGCATTTCAACTTCTGTGTCATTGTGTCTTTTACACATTAACCGATTAGATTTTAAAGGTTTGGTTTTGTACAAAATAAAATAAATGTAGGTAAGATGAACAGAAGCTACTCCTGTTTAAAAGTAGAGTTCCTGTAAACTCACCAAAAGCAAATAAAGAAATCCATGTAGCAGTAATGATGAGTTATATCTTTTGCTCCTGAAACAAGATTATTTTTATTATCTATTAAATTTACATGATATGGAAGCTTGTCTTCGGTGCCCGACTGGAGAATGAACTGATTGTTTTCATTTGAGCTGAGCATGTTTTCCTTTCAGTATGCTGTGTTTAATCTTATCCTGCAGCTACAATACAGTGTGGGATGTACTGCAGCCATAAGTGTGACAAGCAGAGAAGTAACACAAGTTAATGACTTTCTTATACCTTCCCCAAACCAATTCCAGCGGTGCTTTAAACAAATATGCATGAATAAAAACCGTGATTTGGGTTTTACTTCGCCATGTTTCACTCTGCAGAGCGTGCAGGGGACGGCAGAAAAAGCCAGCCCATTCCAGGCCAGTCGATG